CCCCAAAACCCCAAAACCCCAAAACCCCAAAACCCCAAAACCCCAAGATTAAAAAATCATTAATCTTAATGAATTTAGGAAATAAAAAATAATGGATTAAATGAAAATAAATTAAGCAAGCTCCAATCAACCAGAAGGTTAAAACTCCTAAAATACGAATATCATTAAGCCGTTGCCACTCTAAAAGAAAGGAACTTCTCCTGAGCTATTCTCTAGAAGTAATGCTCCTACTAATACCTTTAGCTAGGAAAATATGATCAAGTATCATTAAAATTTAGAGGCTAAGCGATCTAAAATAAACTTGGAACCCATATAAAATGATCAAATAAAAAATGACGTCGGTTTAAAACTAAAGTTAGGGGTATATAAGAGCAATGAGGATAATATGAGAAATTATATTGGGAGTTTTAATATAACATAGTAAATTCAAATAAAACCTCAGATAGATCGACGAGAGTAGCTTAGAAGTGGTTCTCCCAATACTAGATAAAATCTGTTTGCTCATACCAATCCAACTTCTAGTCAAAATAAAAATTCTGTGTAAATGCATGCATAAAATCTTGAGAAACCTAGTATCTTACATAATATCTTAGGTTCATAGTAAATGAAATAAAAACACGTAGGAAACTCTGGCACAAGAGTTCCAGTTGACTCATAGAATGTGATTTACTTTTCAGGCTTATAATGAGAGAATTTGTAGAAGTATATTAAGAATAGAGACAATCATTCTTTTTAAATAAGCCAGTAAGTATTGATTGCTTGAACTTATTATTTATTAAGGAGATCATAAAAAAGAAGTATGCAAACTGAATAAATTAAGGGCGAGGGTGTTCAGCTCTAAGTCAAAGACATACTAATGTAAAATGCTAATGAGAATCATAGGAAAAAATTTGGAAGAGATTCTTTTCCTAAACTTTCATACAAAAAGTATCTTAATAAAATTTTCATCTATATTAAAGCAGCAATCTAGATGGTGTAAGCTAAACTGATAAAGGCAATAATAAAGAAAAATCAGTGCTTCTCCCAAATGTTATAAACTAGGATAGTGCTCATGGAACAGCAAATTTAGAAAAGTAACTGCAATACGGTAACTTAAAATTTGAACGATAATCTAATTTAGCATAAGGTAGTTCCAATGATGTTCAAATGTCCTCAACACAGACAGAGTTTAACAAAATGAGTAGCAAAAAATAAAAATCCAAGAGTAAGAAGCACTAATTAAATATGAATGAATGGGATATCAGACAAAGAAAGATTTAAGGTCAATATGAATCAAGAAATAAAAATGTTACAGTACCAAGTTAGTCAACTAATAACACTCAAAATGTAATGAACTAGCCATTTGTGGAAAAAGTTGAAGATTCATCACTCTATAATACATCAACTAATTATAACTTTATTAAAAAAAGTATTAGAGAAAACACTCCTCGGACTAGAGATATGCCGGATGATCATAAGAAACCTGAAAGAGATGTTTTAAAACTTGACAACTAATTTGTATTTACAACAGCTGACTGTGATGTTGAAATTAAAACTTAAGAGTTACTTAACAATCGGGCTATAATTAAAATGAGCAAATAAAATTTTGAACTTTATAAGGAAAGAGTTTTAAATTAGTCAATTCAGGCAAAGCAGTAAAGAAATAAGACAAATGGGCACGACCAAAAATCATAAAAGAGTCCAAATAAGGATTTTGAATAGCTACTTATCCATCTGAGAAGTTATCAGTAATCTAAAACTTAAGATATATAAACATAGAATACCTCTCCAGTACCAAACCAAAATATGCAACTATTTGAATTTCTAAAGCAGGAAATTCGTAATTCACGAGATGGTTAAATAAATTAGAAAGATGTTGAGTATTTAAAGAAGTAGTTATTTCATCATAAAAGCAACAAGCAGAGGATACTTAGTCTGACCAAAACATAGGTCTAGGATTGTTTAAAGAATTAAGATACAATTGATCAATAGATGGAAGATTTTATAAATTATTACAAAAGTAAGAGTCCTGAAATCAAATCAAGCAATAATAAAGATGAAATTTCAGACTTAAGCCCTAGTTAAAAAGATCTACTTTAGATATTAAGTGCTCAGACTTCAAAACAAAAAAGTGGTACTGGTGAAGTGATGAATGAAAAAAATCCATTGAATAAACACAAGCATGTCTATGAATTCTTGAAAAATGCAATCTAAAAATTTGATCCAATGATGATGAATCGAGTTTCTTAATTCAATACAGAAGATATTGAAACCAACAAGACGCAACTATTTAGCCATCTTTCAAATGCATTCTAAATATAGTCTTATGATTCACAGAATAGTAGTTCCAATAATATGATACCTAAAAGCATTCAAAATAAAATAAAAGAGAGAAGCAATGATTCAAATAACATTTCAGGTACTGGATAACCCTAATAACAGCAAATTGGTATCGGCATGCATAATAGCCCACATCCAAATAATTTAATATCAAATCAAAAATTTAAGTGGATAAATACCAGCAAATATCGTAGATTTAAGCACAATTAGCGTAATACAGATGAAGCATCAGATATTATGCAATAAAGTTATAAAAATTTGGAACTTTCAGTAAATAACGCAATTCTTTATAAGGGAGATTAAAAGTTTCTAGTAACTGCAACTAAAAATTTTAGCTAGTAACAATAAGATTCAAGAAATAAAAATGATCACAGCATCTAAAAAAAGAACAGAGATGATCATTTTTCTTAATCAGTACCTTAATAGCAACAGCACTTTTTAATTATGTCAGAATAATAGAGTAAAGATCTTATCTATACAGCTACAGATCAATCATTTGAAAATGTTCTTAGTCTCAATCAAACTCAAAATATAAAATTTAGTAAAATGAATTCAACTCGTCTTAATTATGAGAAACAATAAAGATCCCCTCTGAAGCTAACATAAGACATAAAAAAGCAATAAGAGTTAATTTAGATTATCTAAGAAATAAAACCTCCAATTAAAATATTCCATCATGAGGATAACATGGTCTAGGAAAACAAATTCAATTAAATGCTTATCCTTACAAATCATTTGATAAGACTAACATAGAAACCATATTAACAGAACAATCACCTGCAAATTACCAATTAAGATCTAAGAATTTTAAAGAGATCTGGAATACTAATTCCAAAAAACTTAGAAAATCATAACTTTATAAGATCTAGAGAATTTTGCCAGTAAGCTAGAGAGAAAGCCTTATAGATGCTGACAAAATAAATATAGATTGATAATGAAGTACCTGCTAAAACGACATAAGATGTGAATTTTAGCACTTAGTACGCGAAATTCTATGTTGGCTTTGGGAATAATTTCCCATTAGTAAGGTCAATTTTGAAAAATAGGTGGTGGATGTCAATGGCAGACAAAGCCAACTTTGAAGAATGCTAACTGATTTGGACTTCCTGGAGGAAATAAAAGTTCGTCGAATAGTTAATAAAAAATGAGGAATATCAGTAGCAGGAAACAAAACTACATATTAAAAGAATATATGCTAGAATGGAAGATAATTTTCATTTAACAAATAAAAAGGGGCTTCTCTTAAATATGAAGGAATTTTACCGAGCAAAGGGTAAATGCATTTTTGAAAGTCATGTATTCCCTCACACATATCTTGTGAAAAGTAGTCATGATGACAGTGAATACTTAAAACTTGTTAAATATGCAACGTAACGCCCTGATAGCATTTGGATTATCAAACCTGGTGAAAATTCTAATAGAGGATGTGGTATTTCATTATGTCAGGGTGTAGATGGAATCTAAAAAGAGATAGAGACTTTGGACAACTCTAATGGAATGTATAGCAGTTCAAGTAATAATAGTGGAATAAATAGAACTTTAATCATCTAAAGCTACATAACAAATCCATTGTTAATTAATAAAAGGAAATTTGACATAAGGGTTTATGGACTCCTTACTTGTGTCTATGGCAAGCTAAAAGGCTACTTTTATGAGGATGGGTATCTAAGAACAAGTTCGAAAGAATTTTAACTTGGAAACTTCTCTAATAAATACATTCATCTCACAAATGATGCTATTTAAAAGAAAGCTGAGGATTATGGTAAATTTGAGAACGGAAATAAGCTTTCTTATGCTGAATTTCAAAAGTATCTTGAATCCAATGAATTTCTCTCATCTAGCTAATTTTCTACAGTTAACTTTATGCAAGACATATTGCCTTAAATTAGACATTTGGTGTCAGAGTCGTTTAGAAGCGTCGCTTATTAAAGAATAGATCCGCATAGAAGAGTAAATAGTTTTGAGATATTTGGTTTCGACTTCATGATAGATTAAAACTTTGGAGTTTATATGATTGAGGCAAACACTAATCCCTGTATTGAAATAAATAACAATCCAGTTTTAGCAAGGATAATACCAAACATGCTTGACAATGCATTTAGAATTGCAGTTGATCCGTTAATTCCTCCACCAGATCTAAACTTCAAAAGAGGATAAGAATATTTATAAGAAAACAAATTCTCACAAGTCTTTGACTATGAAGAGGAAAAGTATCTAATAGAAGAACTTTACAACAAATTAAGACTAAAAGATATCTAAGAGGGAAAGATAGCTTTGAATGAGGAAAACTAAAACATTTATAAGGAACTTTATGAGGAAAGTTAGGATGAGGACGAGGATACAATTGGGTAATGATAGCTTAAAAGTAGATATCTTTCTCAGATTGTAGAATCAATAATTTCGACTTTAAGATTAATGTTATTATATTATGACCACTTAAATTAATACTGGTAAGTATTTTAATCAATGTTAGTTTTCAAGATTCGTTTAGGGGTTTTGGGGTTTTGGGGTTTTGGGG